GTTTGTTGAAAGATATTTCATTAGATAGAAATTATCTAAAATTTCGTATATTGTTACACAACGGTGCAAGTGCACTCGCTTTTGTAATAAAGCAGCTGGCAAACATTTTTTAATTCTATTCAACTCAAGGAAATTTCAGAAATTAATGCTTTCGACTCTCAACATATATATTATCGACGGTCAACATATTATAAATTTATATATTTATATATGTATTAATAAACCAGCATAATAAATCAGACAATTGAAAATTCAAGAACAAGAACAAAACGATTAAACTTTTTATAATTATTATTAAATTAACGAAGGGTAAGTTCTCAAAATTATATTATTATGATACTATAATCGAAAAAAAATATTTATATTTTTCAGATCTTATAAATTTTGATCATATTGACTTACATTATTTTGAAAAAACTGCTACTAATTAACATCCCGTTGGTTAATCGCAAAAAAGCAAAAATGAACATTTTTATATGTATTTACGTGTCAAAGCCTTCTGAACATTTTGGAATACCTTGGAAAAAATGGATATATACATGTGTGAATGTATGTATAAATGTGTGTGTATGCATATATGTATGAATGTATGAGTTTTGAACAATAAAAAAAAAAATTGGCGACGATTTCGAAAAAACACGAATCAAATGATTTGAATGACCAAAAAGCATTCGATTCCGAAAGGAAATTCTTTTGAAAAATAATCAAAATTTGTAAAAAAAAATATAAAAAATTTTAAGTCCATTTATTTCAAAAATTTTAATTCTCAAAAATCTTTTTTTAAGTTATTAAGAAATTTTAAAACTTTTCAAAATTTTAATTTACGGTACGGGTAGTTCCCGCAATTTCGTTGATGCCATGCACCACTAGTTACTCTTTTAAAACTATGAAATAACTGAACCGTTCTAAATGTTTTCTAGCGCTCAACGTGTAAGTCGGTGATTAGGAAAATTGGGATCAAGGTTACAAGCGTGCATATATTTTATTGAACCAGCAGCTACAAACTTTAATTTAGAAAACATCAGCCTCTTGGAGATAGAAAATTGAAACAAAGCTACTCAAACTGAGTAAACATATTATAAAATATTTTATGTATACATTTTACTCAATCTAATGATTCTATGAGAAAAAATAATTTAAATTAAATAATTATAAAAAATAATTTATGCATCGCAATTTCCATTTACGATCTACTTTGGTCAAAAATAATCATAAAAACAATTACAATTTACAGAATCTAAAGTACATTCACTTCGATTATCAAAAAATCAAATCTAATCATTTTTTAAACAAATATAATGAAATCGGTGCTTTCAGTGTAAACCGAAAGATTCCACAACTTATGGTTCGTGCTATTATTTCGGGACATACTGTGTGACGAATCACTGATAAGATTTTCATAAATCTTCAAGCTAGCAATAAATTTGTCGATAATGTTTATTGATAATTAATGTTCAATACTTCATTGGATAGACAATGCAATGTATATGATTAATCGAATTTTGAATAGTTACATCAATATGATTTAAAAATTCTGTATGATTGGATATAACTAACTAGTGGGGCGCATGGCATCGTGCCTTAAGGATTGCTGGAAATTGCTGGAACTTCCCGTACCAAAAATTATATTTTTTTAAAAAGATAAACATTTTAGAAAAAAAATTACTCTGAAAAAATTAGATTTTTGAGAAACAATAATATTTTGACAAAAATTTACCTTTTTTTGAAAAAAAAAGACTTTGAAGAAAAATTTATTTCGAAATATTATGGAAGTTCTGAACTTTTTTTCAAAACAATCGTGCTGCTTTAACTGCATAGAGACGTAATATCGAAGCGCCTAAGCGCCGCGTCGCCGTCTAACGGATAAACATTGGTACCGCACCCATAGGAATGTAAACAAAATGTATACATATTGTTGAAATCTCTATAAAACATCTGATAATTTGATGTGCATATGTCTAATGATCATTTTTGACCGCCAAATGGCATTTTTTTTTACTTTTTTTACTAGATCTCCGAAACCACTAGATCTGCCTTCATTAAAATTTGATCAATTCTTCATCTTGTCAACACAAGTCAAATGTTTTCTAAATTATTCAAATCGGACCCTCCGTTCTCTTAAAAACTGAGTTACCGTTTTTGGCACTTTTTGCCCCATATCTTCAGAACGGCTAGACCTGCCTTCGCCAAAAACTAATCAGCACGTCTCCTTATCAATACGAATCGAATGTTTTTTGAATTATTCAAATCGCTTCATCCGTGTTCCCGACATCGTCGACGAAAATTTGTATCCGCACACACACACATACATCCATTTTTTTTAAGGTATTCCAAAATGTTCAGAAGGTTTTGAAACGTGAAGATATATAAAAATTTTCATTTTCGATTTTTTTGCGATTACTATAACTTGCCCTATGGGAAGTTAAATACTTACATCGAAACTTGAGTACTTATTGCTAAAATTAAAAACATCAATTGATAATAATTGATAATTAAGTTATTGCTAAAAACAAATATAACTTTACGTTAAGAAAAAAAAACGAGCTATATCGGCGGCATTCGAGTGAAAAGGGTTAAAAAATAAAAATAATATGTAAGAATTAAAAATCTGATGTGTAAATGAAACAATATTACATGGTTAAATAAAAACAGAAAGAGTGCGTGTATTATTATGTTTACATTTTTCCATAGAGATCGTAACACAAAAATTTAGGTTTTTATTAATTTAATTTGGGATTTATTATATTTTTATTTAACCTTTCCAAATAAGAAGTTTATGCTTTCGCCAGAAAATCCAGAAATTCTAATTTTGTGTTTTCTTGACGTTTCAAGTCATTATGAATCGTTTGAGAACAAATTTGAAAAAAGTATGGATTTTTCAATAATGTGTAATATTAAAACCATTTATCGAAAATAACTAACGTGTTTAGAAAACTTGAAAAACCTACAATAATTTTTTATGTTATATAATCCTTGCTGCAACTCGATATACTTAAAAATCACTCATAAATTAATATATTGATTTCCTATTAAGTATGTAGATTGTTTACATATGTAGGAAAGTTCATGTAAGTTGCCTTAAGACAAAATGCCACTTACACCTAGTTTTAATATTGAATTACATAAACTTATTGTTAGAATAATTTTTTCGTTATGTATTTTACATTTCAACACGAACTAAGGAATTCACCTAAAAATAAAAAAGTAACTTTTTCAAAGAAAGAAAGTTGAATGAAATAATAATAAATGCAAGGAAGAAATGTAATAAATGAATTTTATTAAGTCAAATTCTCAAAACTTGATAAAGTTGCGCAACATTTTTGACAACGTTTGAATTTATACATCGCGCCAAAATTTGACAAGCAACAGTCGCCATTTCAATTCCCGACAACCATCGAACAACACCGAACGAATCAACCGTACGTCAATAAGACAGCTCCGTGCGTCAAATTCATAACATAAACGATTTGTTCTGGGAGCGGTTTGGTGTGGAAATATTCCAATCTTTTTACACGTGATTAAAATTATTCCATTTACTATTTAGCTAATTAAGTGAATTGTGATTAAAGTGTCGTATTGAATAAACATAATTCAATATACTATAACAGCTGACATTTTTTTTAAAACTAATTTGTTTATATATCAGTGGTGATGCCTAACCCGAACACATTTTTGTACTTCGCGTATGGAAGTAATTTATTAGCGAAGAGAATTCATATTAATAATCCTTCGGCAGTTAGAAAAGACGTTGGAAAGCTATTGGTATGAACGTAACATGAATATATTTTTAAAAAATGCTATTTAAAGCACTTGTGCTATATACACATTATGTATATCTTTAAATGAGTTGTTTTATAGTGATTTGTAAAATAGATTGTTGATAAATAATGTATATGAATACATTTTGTAATTTGCATATAAATGATTTTTTTTTAATATAAATTATATGGCTTCTGTAGTTATTTAGTTAAAAAATTAATAAAATAAACATAAAAACAACTTCAAAATTATGGTAGTAACGAGTATACCTAAACATTTTTTTTTTTAAGTATAGTCAAATAACTTAAGTGCTATAATAAAAGTATAAGATTGAAAGTTAATAAGATTGATGATTTGCAAACTAAATAAAATCTAAATTTAACGAATAAATTTTGATTTGTTAATATTTTTGAAAAACCCCACACAGATTCATGTCATATTTCAATGTTGAATCTTTCGAAGTTTTATTTATTTATGAAGTGTTGAATTCTATAAGGTAACATAATCATTTGATTTTTAAATATTTCTAAAATAACTCAATACAGTATTTTAATAATTAATTTATATCATTTTGATGTTATTATTAAATACATCTTTCAGGATTATTGCTTAGATTTCAATAGATACTCAGAAAAATGGGGAGGTGCGTCTGCCACAGTTGTACCAAAAGTGGGTGAGCATGTTTGGGGTGCTATATGGGAAATCGATAATAAAAATCTTGCAAGCCTTGACAAGTAAGTTTAAGCTTTAACGGAACTTATATTACTTCAATATAAAGTATTATAGAAATGATTCTTTATATAGCGGTAAAAATTAAAATTTGTGTACACATCCTTGACTCATAAATGAGCTTGTTCAGTAATTTTTTTTCATTAGACAGGAAGGTGTACATTTAAACACATACTTTGCTAAAGATGTAAACATCAAAACTAAGAGTGGCGAAAATGTATCGTGCCGAATATATGAGCAAAGTAAACTGCCTGCTCCGTTGCAACCGGGTGAACCTTTTCCAGAAGATAGGAAGCCTAGTTTGATATATCTTGAGACAATTATTCAAGGAGCGTTAGAATCTGGATTACCAGACAGTTATTTAAAAATGCTTAGAAGCATTCCTCATAATGGAAATATTGGAGATGAACAATTACGGAAGGAACTTGGTATATTACTGTCCCACAAAGTTTAGAAAAATGACATATTGAGAAATATGTATAACAATATGAAATGAATCACTGGTACAAGCTTATTTTTATTATGATATTTAAGAATGTCTATTGCAATGTTTATAAATATTTAGCTTATATAAAATTACAACTAAACTATCAAATTACTTGTTTCTTTGACTTTTTTTTCTTTTTCGGTATAAACTTTGTTATCAAGTTCAATTCAGCCTCATATCCCTTATGCACATGATATGTATATTTACGAAGCCCTAGAGTATCTAACATTTCACTAACAGATTTTTCATTTTTTGCTAATTCTAAGGCTACATCTTCACCTAAAACATCTAACTTAAATCTTGGAATTTTTATTACACTGTGGTCCTCTCCATTAAACTAAAACAAGCATATGTTGTTGGAATGCCACAATCATAATTATAGTAAAAAAAATTTTGAAATATATCACAAACCTTTATCGCTAAATCAAGATTATAGTGGAGATCTACATCAGGCCAACGTTGCTCAAACACACTTTTGTTGTAATCGAATTCATTTTGTTGCATATGTAATAAGAACTATAACAAAAAAAATATCAGTATAATCAGTAAATCTGCAATAGTTACTATGAAGATTTTATGATACATTTGCAAATCTTATATTCAAACAAAAATATAATTTCAAATATAATAGAATAACTTACCAAATTCTTAGAACCATAATTTCGTTGAGTCAGCTCTAATCGTGGAACATTTGTAAATCCTGACCATAATTCAGATGCAAAATGTGGAGCCATCGGTGCTAAAAGTAAAATTTGACATCCTAAAGCTCTTTCATACTGCAGTCCTTGAGCAATAACTGGTGGTATAGCCCTCTAGAATTATTTTACTTACATATACATACCACCAATAGTTTTAACCAATATCATTTACTCACTCTTAGTGAATTTGTCAACCCTTGCATTTTAGATATTGCTACACTCAGTTGGTGAGAAGAAATATAATTAAAAGTAGCCCCTGATGCGTAAAAATTTCTTGAGTCAAACAATTTAGTTTCATGCTCTATAAAATCAGGGTCCATAAAATCTACTTCTTTGTAATTTGATCGATGATTGATAAAATCTCGCAATGTCAACCATAACCGTCTTTGCCAGTTTAGGATACCAGGAAATGCTGAAATAACACTTGATTAGTATCTAATCATGTGTTTATTGAAATATATTCATACTAGCTGTAGTCCAATGTCTAAATGATGTAGGTGCAACATCCGCTAAAATTAATAACCTTGTTGTATCAGTCCCATAATCATTAAACATAGCCTGTGGATCAACACCATTTTTTTTAGATTTAGACATCTTTTCCCAAGTCATGATTACAGGTTCATCAGAATTTTTTAAAACTGCTTTGCCTTTTTTCTTATCAATAATGTCAACCTATTAAAAAGATATGTATTCCATAAGTAGATGTATAGTATGTATATATTGTAATATATATATATATATATATATATATACATAGCTGGACATTAACTCGTTAATCCGTTAATCGTTAATTAACGAAGTTAACATTTTGATTAACGGATTAACTTTTAAGTTAACTTTTAAAAATGTTAACGGACACGTTAACTTCCGTTAAAATGCGAGAAGTCCGTTAATCGTTAATCGAATGCCTACTATTTACCGCACGGCACAGCTTTAGCCAATGCCTTATTAAACGGCATAGAGAAAAGATTTGGACTACTCCTGAATGATGAACAGTGCCAACTTGCCGCGGCATTTCACCCAAAGTTTCGGTTGATGTGGCTGGAAACATATGACAGCAGTAGATAGGAATGCAGTAAGAAAATGCACGGAAAAAAGGTAGAAGATGCCTTATGGCAAGAAGCAGCGAAAAATTCGAAGGACAGAGATAGTTTAAGTGGCGGAGGAAGCAATGCGAGTAACAACGATGATGACGAGAAGGAAGACTTTTTCAATTCTGTCACTCAGTCTATAGAAAAACCAAAGAGCTACAAACTCTTTAAAGAATAAAACGCAAATTCTCGTTAAAATGTGGCTGGATATGAAATCAAAAGACTCGTTCAACGATGCTGCATTCTTCGGGGAACAGATATTCATAAATCTATTTATTAAATACAATACTGCTATACCCTCAAGCGCTGCAGTTGAACGTTTGTTTTCCACGAGTAAAGACATTTTGACACCAAAACGAGCCTCGCTTTCAGACGAGAACTTCAACATGTTAATGTTCATGAAGGGGAATATGCACGTTATGCCCGACGCTTAACCCGTCGCGCGTTTCCTATTTTTCGCAAAAACTAGCTGTAAATGGAATTCTGTCTTAAGGCAATTAAGGCATCGTTCCTTAAGGCAAATTTCTGGTACTTTCCGTACCTAAAATTATTATTTTTTTAAAAACGATTAACATTTTTGAAAAAAATTTACTTCGAAAAAATAAGATTTTTGAGAAACTATAAACTATTGGACAAAAAATTAATTTTTTTTGAAAAAAAAAAATGTTTTCTTTATTTTGACATATTTTGGAAGATCTGAACTTTTTTTCAAAGCAATTTTACTGCTTTAGGACTGCATAGAGACAAAATATAAAGCGCGTAAGCGCCGCGTCGCTGTCTAAAGGATAAACATTGGTACGGAACCCATAGGAATGTAAATAAAATTTATACTTATTGTTAAAATCTCTATAAAATATCTGATAATTTGATGTGCATATGTCTAATGATCATTTTGACCGCCAAATGGCATTTTTTTTTTACTTTTTTCATTAGATCTCCGAAACCGCTAGACCTGCCTTCATGAAAAATTGATCAGTTCTTCATAATTGTCAATACAAGTAAAATGTTTTTTGAATTATTAAAATCGGACGCTCCGTTCTCTTAAAAACTGAGTTACCGTTTTTGGCTCAATTTTGCCCCATATCTTCGGAACGGCTAGACCTGCCTTTGCCAAAAACTAATCTTCTTATCAATACGAATCGAATGTTTTTTGAATTATTCAAATCGGTTGATCCGTGTTCCCGAAATCGCCGACGAAAATTTGTATCCGAATACACATACATCCATTTTTTCTAAGGTATGCCAAAATATTCAGAAACCTTTGAAACGTCGAGAAATGCAAAAATTTTCATTTTCGATTTTTTTGCGATTACTATAACTTGCCCTACGGGAAGTTAAATAAACTCTTTCCCTTTATTTAGAAAAAAATTCTTGTAAAAACAATATGCAATCAGAAAAACGGAAAGTTGACCAATAGCGTTATCACGGTATGTGATAATTGTGCGAGGGGTTAAATTACACATTTGAATTATTCAAGTATTTTGTTTTATTCATAACCTGTTAACTTCCAGAACCTAAACTAATAAGTTTTTTAAGTTCACTAACACAACGATATAAAAATGTAATTTTACACATATTAACGGATTAACGATTAACGTTAACTTGCGTTAATTCTTCCGAAATGTAACGCTTTAACGTTTAACGAAGTTAACTTTTATTGTAGCGGATTAACGATTAACGAAGTTAACTATTTGATTAACGGTGCCCAGCTATGTATATATATATATATATATATATATATATATATATATATTCACAAAAAGTAAAGTGTAACCTGATCCTCTGTGACATACTGGCCAGAGCTCTTTACCCTGAATGATTGTCCCATAACCATTCCTTGAACTAATAATCGTTTGAATGGTTCAGGATGACTCAACAGACCCATAGAATATAAGAAATAACTCATAAATCGTGCATAATACAAATGCAATACAGCTGAAATTAAATTTATATATATAAAAGATATATTTATATACAAATATAAATGCAATTGTGTACCATGTTCTTTTCCACCAATGTATAAATCAACAGGATTAATTTGTTTCGCTTTTGATGCATCAAATGGCTCATTTGGATTTTTATTATCAATATACCTCAAATAATACCATGCTGAATCCACAAATGTATCCATGGTGTCAGTTTCTCTTACAGCAGCACCTAAACATACCGGGCAACTAGTTTTATGCCATTCTGTATTATCTTTCAGTGGAGATGAAGTTTTGTCTAATGCACCACTAATTTTAGGTAATTCTACAGGTAAATCCTTCTCAGGTACAGGTACTAAACCACACTTATCACAATGAACAATAGGAATTGGAGTACCCCAATACCTTTGACGAGATATCAACCAATCCTTTAACTTAGAACTTGTTTCATATCCACCAATTTTCATTTCCAATGCTTTTCTTAACCTATCCTCTTTAATTTGAGCATATTCCTCTGCAGTTTTCATATTATTTATTTCAAATTCAAGCCCTACAGTTTTAGAAAATGTAGCATCTACTTCGGATTCATTTGGTATACCAATATGACAGTCACATTCTGGTGGGTACTCAACTTGATCTGTTATGTATATAGGCAAAAGTTTGCCCGTGAATGGATTCTTAGCCTTGACATGTAGTTTATAAAATCCATTGTTCAGTTTATTGCCTTTCTCCATCTGGTGGAGAATGGAATTTGGAGTAACTGCAATAAATGTCGCTTCATCTATTTTTTCTATATGTTTCGTCCATACAGTCAAAGATTTAATATTGGATGCATTTACTAATTCAAAATCTATTGTATGACCATCACATTCACCAATCCAATGTTTCTGCATTTTAATTATATCTTTCCAGTCTTCCAATATAGGATTGTCTAAACCCTCTAGCAATTGCTTAGCAAATTTTGTAGTTTTCACAAACCATTGATTTAATAATTTTTTCTCAACCTTTGCTCCGGATCGCCAAGAGCAACCATTGTCATCTACCTGCTCATCTGCAAGTACTGTATTATCAACTGGATCCCAGTTAACCAATGCCTATATTAAGTAATATGAATAAACACACTTACATAATCTTTAGATTTCTTTATATATGTTTGCATATTATTATATTTCTGTAACATTAATGAAGTGCTTACATATTTTCTATAGATTAGTCCTTCTTTGAAAAGCATTAAAAATAAATATTGTGTCCATTTATAATAGTCAGAGCTACATGTTGTAACTTCTCTATCCCAATCAAAAGAGCAACTTAGCTGATACAGTTGTTTCTTCATGTTCTGTATATTTCTTTCAGTCCATGATTTTGCTGAAACATTATGTTCGATTGCAGCATTTTCTGCAGGTAAGCCAAAAGCATCCCAACCAATAGGATGAAGAACCTATAAAAATTAGTCACGCTTCAATTAACATGTTTAAGCTAATAATTTGAATATCTACGAAAAACGTAAGCATCTAAACAATAAGAATACTTTAAAGAAAATTATCATATTTGTCGCAGTAGAAACTACAAGCTAGATCGTGAAAGAGATTTGCTTACATTTTTACCATTCATCCTATAAAAACGAGCCATTGTATCACTTATTGTATATACTCGAACGTGCCCCATGTGAAGCTGTCCAGAAGGATATGGAAACATTGACAAAACATAGTACTTGTCTTTAGTATTATGATCGTCGAAAGGGCGATTATATAATTTAGTACGCCAATGAGACTCAATAGCATGTTTGATATCTATAGATATATCTTCTTTCTAAAATATCATAATAGTTTGCATCCAAATATCAAAATATTTAATCACCCATTTATTTTGTTACCCATAAACCCAATCCAGAACAATACACTCTATGTGACATCCGTAGCGTACATTTTTGTTTAATTAATACTTTATTTAAACAAATATAGGATATTCTTCGAATCATAACAATCAATAACAATATTGGAATAAATAATATTTAACTGTGCAGGTTATGTTCACGCCAATATTACACAAGGTATTTCTTGGTTAAGTTCGCATCTCGGAATGCTGTTTGCTGCCGGTTGCTGCTTTTGATATTCAGTGCTGCCATCTGCCACGATTTATTTATGAATATGAATGTGACATTGACAGCAGAACACATAGTTGTGTAGAACTGTCAAATGAAAATGATCAATGATTGAGTAGACGAAAGCTTTTACGATTAAATGATAATATATTTATTATATATATAAATTTCTGTGTATTGAAAAATGGCTGAAATAGAATGGCCGTGGCAATACAGTTTTCCTCCGTTCTTCACGTAAGTTTCCTCATATGAATAGCAAAAGATTTATATTTACTCAAAACAACCTGTACTTGATTTTCAGTAGTTGTGATAATAATTGTCAAGTATATCCGATATGGACCTTATATATTAATTAGCCATCTTATTTTTGTTAGCATTCAAGTTCATGAAGAGACTAAATCTAGACAAATCACACTATGGAGAAATTTAGTTTTGGAATATTACAAATCCACAAAGCAGAGCACATTAGATGTGGGAGAATCTTTAAATTCTCCCTTATTCAATAATGCAGCAATTGATAGAAAACTATCTCAAGAAGGAATAGTTCTTATTCTAGAAGATCTTGCTAAAACTGGAAATGCAGCTCCTTTAGATAAATTAAAAAATAGGTGGGAGATCTATTGGCATACACTAGAAGAATGGGCTTCAATTTTATATGATTGGGCCCAAGAAAATGGACAAGTAAACACAGTTTTAACTTTGTTTGAACTTGTTTCTGGTGAAGATACCACAAATATGGAGTTTTATGGTCTTGATACTAATGTTCTAATTAAAGCTTTGAGAAAATTAGAATCTGAAAATAAATGTGAACTCATAATGTTTGATGATAATCAAGGCGTGAAGTTTTTTTAATGATTATTTTTAATTTTTATATAATATATTGTGTAATGTGTATAATGTGTTGATAAATTATTTATACTATATTTTTTTATATACTTTAAAATCTAATTGCTCTTTATTTTCAGCAATTAATTTTTTCCACTTATATTCAACTATTCATTAGCACCATCAATTTGATAATGTAACGTATTTTCATTTACCTATTATTTAGCCGAATTTCTGAATCCTTGGATCTAATATTTTAATTTTTAATTCTTCCAAATAGTATTTAGTTAGTTTAGAAATTTCTTTGTTTCATGTTACTATTGAATATTCAATGTCGTTTTCATACTTTAACTGTAGTTGCAATCGATATATTTTTTTCCCAATTATCAACGAAATACAAATGATGCAAAAATTTTAATTAAAATTATTTTGTACAGTATAAAGACTTTAAAAATAAAATCTAAAAAACATCAAAAACATAAAATTTTATAGATTCAAAGCAAAAATTAAATTAACAACATGATTAAAAATCCATCAAATATATTAAACTTTATTTTCATATTGAGCCAATAAGTCTACAGTTTTTTCAATAACACTGTAAATGTAAGGTCTTTCCATCGGATTTAATTTTAGCATAAATGCAATCAAATCATGTATTGCTCCATCATAAGGACCTTCCTCTGGGAATGTAATATTGCCACTAATCACAGCAAGAGCTACACTATCTCCACGCTCATATATTATATCAAATGGTGATTTAAAAAAACACATTGCATATAAAATGCAACCCAAACTCCATATATCAGTTCTTTCATCGACCATACAGTAACTTTCGACATTAAATAACTCTGGGGCTTTATACGGCATTGAACACCTTTCACTGGCCAATTCCTGTAACTTTTGGGCATCCTGCACACCACATATTTTCACTCTGGCTTCTGTTGCAGATCCAAGGTCCATTATAACAGGGGTCATGTCATCTTCAAGACATATATTGGCTGTCTTGAGATCTCGATGAGCCAGCGGCTCTGGGGTTGCTTCATGAAATGCTCTGACACCTTCACAGATACCTAAGAACATTGTTAACAGTTCGTGTTCATTCCAATGATCTTTACGTATTCCTTTTAAATCTAAGTGATGTTGTAGAGTACCTCGTCGATAATAGGGAAGCAACATATATACTTCACTGACTGCATTTATCACAATATCTGCCTGTCCTTTAATATCAGAATCTAATAACTCTATCACATTGATATGATGAATTTTTCTATGAATCTCAATTTCTTTCATGGCAATTTTTTCATCTTCCTTACTGTGACACTTAACTCTTTTCAAAGCGTATTTTTTCTTGGTGTGTTCATTTTGCACTAAATCAACATTACTGAAGCCCCCTTCACCGAGACGATCGAGGACCTTGTATTTACAATTATTAATATGAACTACTTCACGCGAACATAAACAACCCATTTTAAATATGATATTTAGTCCTAAACTATTCATATTATTAAACATATAAATAAAATGAATCTATATAAATTTATTTACATATCGCCTGTTACTTATCTTTACTTTCTAATATTTTTGACAGATAATATCATGGCATACGCGATACGCCTGTCAACTGTCAACGTCACCAAAATATTGAGATACAGTCTGGGAAACTTTTTCGATGAATACGATACGATTTTCCATGAATATTTTCAAATTCATAATATTAAATGTACGTTAGAATCACTCATTGTGATACATTATTTTGTAACAATTAGATTAACAATATGCTTATTAACATAATTTTTTATGTTAATTGAAATTATCATATAATATATTATGTCATTTGAAATTTTTTAAATATAAATTATATATCTAGTTTCTTAATTCTTGAAAATTATAGGATCTATAATTTTCAAACTGGTATTTCATTAGTATTTTGTCAAATCAAATTATATATCTGCATATTTTATTCAAGCATTAATTTCAAAATCAGCGGTTTCACTGATTTCGATGCAATGTCCCAAAATCCTTTGTTAAATGCCGACACGAGATCGAAATTTCAGTTCATTTTCTGTTCAGAACTCAGCCAGGCTAGTGTCAATTTTAGTGGCTATTATTTTGTCTGATTAATTTTTACTGTGTCAAATAAAACACTAAAGTGTAAAGTGTCAAATAAAAAACTAAAGTAAAAATAGAAGTTATTTATTAAAACGCTGGGGTCAACTCCATATATTAATATAATCCTGGGTTATATGAAAGTTGTGAATAATAAATATAAACTAGCTGTAAGTGGAATTCTGTCTTAAGGCAATTAAGGCATTGTGCCTTAAGGCAAATTGCTGGAACTTCCCGTACCAAAAATTATTATATTTTTAAAAACGATTAACATTTTTGAAAAAAATTTACTTTGAAAAAATAAGATTTTTGAGAAACTATAAATTGGACAAAAAATTACTTCCTTTTGAAAAAAATTTTTTTTTCTTTATTTAACATATTGTGGAAGATATGAATTTTTTTAAAGCAATCGTACTGCTTTAACTGCATAGGGACAAAATATAAAGCGCATAAGCGCCGCGTCGCTGTCTAACGCATAAGCATTGGTACGGAACTCAAAGGAATGTTAACAAAATGTATACTTATTGTTAAAATCTCTATAAAATATCTGATAATTTGATGTGCATATGTCTAATGATCAATTTTGACCGCCAAATGGCATTTTTTTTTTTTTCATAAGATCTCCGAAACCGCTTGACCTGCCTTTATAAAAATTTGATCGATTCTTCACCTTGTCAATACAAGTAAAATGTTTTTTGAATTATTAAAATCGGACGCTCCGTTCTCTTAAAAACTGAGTTACCGTTTTCGGCACTTTTTGCCCCGTATCTTCGGAACGGCTAGACCTGACTTTGCCAAAAACTAATAATCACGTCTCCTCATCAATACGAATCGAATGTTTTTGAATTATTCAAATCGGTTGATCAGTGTTCCCGAAATCATCGACGAAAATTGTATCCGCACATACATACACACACGCACACACCACACACACACACACACACATACATCCATTTTTTCTAAGGTATGCCAAAATATACAGAAACCTTTGAAACGTCGAGAAATGCAAAAATTTTCATTTTCGATTTTTTTGCGATTACTATAACTTGCCCTACGGGAAGTTAATTAATTTGTTGAATAAACACAATTTAAATTTAAACATTTAATACATTAAAAATGTCAATAGATTACCCTAATAAGATACCCCAATAATGAATATATGATAAAGGTCTTAGTGAAAAGTAAACACTTTTATGTACGCCAAGAATTATAAAGGCTTTCAAGATAGTGGACAGATTACAATTTCTTCCGTGTGATTGTGATCGTGCTGGATTGAGTGATAGCAGTTGTTTTTCTCTAATTGTTTTTGCCCCTTCTTTATACGTGTAAGTAATATATGAAAGGTCATAGAAAAATGTGCGGGCAGAAAATTCACATTGAATATTTTTAAATATCGCTGGTGCCGATACGGAAACGACTCGTACAATATATGCATGCTCGGTTAGGTCTTGAAGAAGGAAGAAAAACAGAGAATTATCTCCTGCCGTGGTTTCCAACCTGAGGGGCGCACAGCTGTTTTCAAAGTACTATTATCGAAAATATACCAAAGATATTGAAATGATACTAATAAATATGAATAAATAACACAGTTACCGCTCTCCCCCAAAACAAGGTGTCGTATTGGGTGCGGCATATGTTTTCTAAAACCATGTTTCTAATGTATTTTTTACCGCTGGACAAGCAAATAACGCCAAAATTGGGTATTAAATGGCAAATTTAAAAAAATTAAAAAAGGACAAGATCTCCGATATAATAATTCTTTTCCATTATAATTAAAACCATAATAATTGTTTTAATAATTATAATTTCTGTTGTTTCTTGGCCCCTTTTGCCTTAAAAGACAATTAAGTTTCAATTAAATGATCTATTAAGTACTGTTTTTATAATTTACAAACATATTTACTCCCCATTGCACCTGGGAAATCTGCAAACATACTTGCATTTTAATATTTCAATGTAAAAAGAGCCAGGAAACGACAGAATTTATAAGATTTTAGTTATTATTATTATTATTTATTTATTTTTTTTACTTTATTTTATCTTTTTATTAACTTCCCGTAGGGTAAGTTATTGTAATCGTCCAAAAATCGAAATTGAAAATTTTTACATTTCTCGACGTTTTAAAGGTTTCTGAACATTTTGGCATACCTCAGAAAAAATGGATGTGTGTGTGTATATGTATGTATGGATACAATTTTTGTCCAACCGATTTGAATGGTTCAAAAAAAATTCGATTCTTATTGATAGGGAGATGTGCTGATTAGTTTATGGCAATGGCAGGTCCAGTCGTTTCGGAGATACGGAGCAAAGAGTGCAGAAAATAGAAATCGAGTTTTTGGGAGATCAGAGCATCCGATTTGAATGATCCAAAAAACATTCAATTCTTAATGACGGGGAGAAGTGGTGATTAGTTTTTCGCAAAGGCAGGTCCAGCG